GCCAAATCAAAGTTACGAAGACTTCGCTGGCGAGGGCGACGTTGCGTATACTTGATCTTGTTACACGCACAGCTAAATGTCAATTTATTTGCCACACTCCAAAACACTAAGCCGACAACCACAACCACATCATCGTTCTCTTTCCCTGAACCTCCACCCATCTCTTTCCCTGTCTGATGAGATGTAATCGATGAGCTCCGTGGCCCTTGACTGAGTTACAGACTGACAGACGATGTCTGCTAAACTCTCTTGGCAATTTCATTAAAACTCATCGCCGGCAATTGAATTATGCCGGAGATTTATGCGCTTGAGGAAAACTTTTACGATTTTAATCATATTTTATTATAATTACATAAATCCTTAAAACGAGCGGCAATTGAAAGTTTAACCACTTAGGAGAGGTTTTTATTGAAAGGAGAGGATGACTAAGGGTTTAAGTAATTGTTTCATTTTAAAATATAAAAATCCCTTAATTTTATTGCACGAATATGCTTGTCAATTTAAACGAAACTTATGGAAATAAGCGCTCGAAGATTTAAAAAGAGTGATGATAGAAAAATGTCAATAAAAGCTTTTCATTAACCTCAAAGACATTTTTCATTTAACAGTGCCTTTGTTTTTCCTGTTATTTTTTGTATATTACTTCCACTTTCATCTCTTAAAAAAGCACAAAGCTCCTTTGCCTTATAAAGCCCATTGTCTGCAGTTCAGGTGCATTTTACACCCTGTTTATGGGGGCCATCTGAAAAGGCCAGCAGAAATCCCCGTAAATTGAAAACGAAAGTTGAAATGCAAACACAAATGGAACGAGACACAAATGGGGGAAAAAGCCAGTAAGCGAGAAATATTATTTTTATGTAACCTTCTATTTTCCCAAGCAAACCGCAGACGATGGAGCTGCTCCTGCTCCCGATTCAGTTCCTTTTCCATTTCCTATTTGCCTGCTGGTCACAGCTGACGGTGAGAGCCCAAAGTCAATAATGCCGATAGACGGCAAATAAAAATTCCCTTTTTTATTTGGGGGTTGGAGGTCTAACAGCACGTTTTTCGATTTCATTGCTTTGTTGTTATTGTTTCGGGCCAGACAAAAGGCGTCTGGGGTTACGAAATGAATGACAAAAGCAGCCACGCAGCAGAAATTCTGATCCAAGGGCCTTCGGCGATCCCTTCGGCTATTAATAAAATACCAATGATGGCTAGGACCCCTGTTAAAATCCCTTTCACCATTTGCCAGTTGCCAATTTACTCCTTTTTACCAGTCTTCGGCCAGCTTTGCCAATTTCTCGCCTGGCTTTGACTTTGACTTTGGCATTGTGGCTTTGTTTTCATTTCAATGCCAGACACCGTATCCCAGTGGCTATAGTTTCAGATCCCTTTCGAGTGGGAGTTGAAAAGTTGAAGTCGGTGGAAGCGGTGAAAGCGGAAACGGAAATCGCTGGACAACTAACAAGCAGCGCGAACAATTGTCAAATCTCTTTCCCCACACAAAGTCAAAGTCAGCAGACAGGACAGAGGGAAGCTCTTTGATTGTTTGATGTCTCGTCTGCTCTGCCTCTTCTGGCCATTCTTTTTCAGCGACCAATTGGCAATTACTTTAGACAAATAATTGCTTAAGCCAGAAATTGTTCGGGGAACGTGGATCAACTCCCAAAGCCAGTTAACTTTTGGCTCTAAGTTTGGAGAAACTCCCACAATCCCAGAACTATTTAATACAGAGAAAAGACACACATTCTCAATTAGTTATTGGAGTACAGGTAAAATATTAATTTAATTAGCATTTGTGGTTTAAAATCAACAACAGAAATGGTTCTTATAATAAGGCATGGTTTTGATTGAGAATTAAATATTAACATCGTTTTATTTTTAATTAAGTACTACAAGCCACATTCCTCATTTACTAATTAAACTCAAGCTCTGAGAAATCACAAATATCTTCTTGGGTAATACGAGAAACTGTTTCGCACTCGCCAGAGTATTCGGTTACCCCAGCAGGAGTGCAGAAGTGTTTGTTGTGACGGAAGCCGCTCAACTTAATTCAAAGTTCAGTTCAATGTGGCAGCTAACTGGTTCGTGTTGGGGGTCTGGTTCAGAGACCGGGATCCCCTCGGTCATATGAGACACTTGAGAAAGAGAACGCTGCTGCCGGTCTTTCAACATGGGAAACTTAAAACTCGGCGTGGGTGGAATGGGTTTCAGGGGAGGGCCGAAGACGAGGGACTCTAAGTACACAGAACTCGTATTTTCAGCTTCATTTGTGGGTCATTTGCTGCGATTTCGCTTGGCCAAAGCTGATGCTAAGCGGATTTTAAATGCCTCTCAAGTGGCTGTCTGTGTTGTTGATTTTACATGAGTTATGAATGGCTAATTGCCCCGATGAAAGCTTGGCACTACGTGAAGAAATATGTACTTAATTAAAGGAGATGCAATGAACAATGGCTGCATTACGCATCTACAAGTGCGTTCTTTAGTTAGATATGCAGGTTAATTGGCTTCAGGGCTTTGTTGGGTAATTGTTAGAATGCTTTTACTTTGAGAAATTTAAGTAGGTTAGAAAGTTATTAAATAAGTCAAATTTAACTAAGTCAGATTTGTATATATTAATTTAAAACTACTATGTTAATATTAAACTTAATAGCTAAAAGGTTTTCTGGCTACCATTAATACATAGAATATGTCTGCCAAGGAATATTCAATCTGTGGGTTGGGTTCTGGATGCTGACAGTTGATTGAACACTTTTTGAAATGACAAAAACGCCCCACGGGTGACATTTCTCAAAACACTTTACTGCGTCTGCACCGGGTTCGCTTTTCCACCTTTTCACCGCTTTGCCCATCCGTGGGCATTTCCCTCAGGTTGGTTAGGTGTTGCAACCTTGATTTACGAGTCAGTTTGGGGAGTTGGGAGCTGTGAGCTGTGTGCTGTGAGCTGAGGGCTGTGAGTCGGAGGATACCATTTGCATAGCGTCGGACCAACGGAAAGGAGCCAGCGGCCAATCATTAAAACGTCGGCATGATGAGTTCTCCCTGAGTTCGCCCTGCTCCAACTGCCTGTGTCCTGAGGCTTCTCTCGCGGTTTTAAATTACCATTTTAATGTTGCCCAGTGCCGTTGATTGATGTGGTATGATGCTGATGCGGATACTGTTTTCAGGGGCAGCAGTCAAAATGTAAATGCCTCCTCGTGAAGTGAAGCGTTTTTCCTCCTAACAAGCTTTTGGCATTTTGTCTACCGTTTTCGCTTTAAAGCCATTAAATGAGGCAAAGATTTTTTTTAATGCCGACCATAAAAGTGAGGCTTCCACAGACATACATTATATATTTTTCTGACTGATAGACAGGCTCACCTATTAACAGATACTTTGGGACACTTCGTTGGACCCTGCTGCTGTTCAGATGGTTTGAGTTATGAGTCTTCCCCTGCCCCCTTTCAGCAATCTCACACCCGCCCACACAAGAGTCCCCATTCTCCATAGGAATATCTACCCGCTGATTGAGCACAAGTGCCTTGCTGACTGACAGACTGACACTTTGGGCTTTTAAATGCCTCAAAAAGCCACTTATTTTCGGATTGGCTTTTAAGCAGCTCCCGAAAGATGTACTTCCCCACCTCGAATTCGATTTTTGTTAATGAGCTGCTAGCATGACAAAAGTTACAGTTGGAGCAGAGTTTGCTGGTTCTTTAAATAATTTAATCAGCGTTTATTATCTGCACAGGTCAATGGAGGCCCGCAATAGCACTTTACTTATATGACTTGGGATGAGGCGCTAATACAAAATATGTGACAACAAATTCTGATAGTATTTGAATGGGGGTCACTTTAAAAATAAAAGGTTATGCATACATTTAGCTTTATCTGCCGTTTCCTGTATAACTTTGTACAACAACTTTATTAAATGAAATATTTTTTTTTTTGTTTAAGTCCCTGAAGTCCCCCCTCCGCCCACCACATACTTTGCAGTCACATCACTTGTGTCATTTTCGTAGGGAATTTATTTTGCAGCTCAGACACTTCACGCCCTCAGGCAGCCGACAAACAAGCAGAAAACTTGTCTGCTCTCATTTCACTCAAAAAAAGAAAATAAATGTAATGGCGCCAAAAACTTGTAGGTAAGCAGAAGGCAAGTTGACACTAAAAGTGAAGCCGGGCCAAATGCATTTCCTGCTGGAATAGAAGTCTCACACTTGTTCACTCCACTTCCGTTTCGATTTCATGTTTTGTGGCCTGCGTAGGTGTGAAGTGAATTTTTACCCTGTGGCAAAATTACCACCACTTCGTCCACGCAAACTCCTTGCATATAAGGAAATCAGCCAGACGTCACTTTTGGCTTTCTCAATAGGGCTGAGGGCGATGTTTTCTTCTCACATTTTCATATTTCTCTTGGCGTTGACATGATTGCTTATAAATGCAATTTTATACATCATATCAATTCCGAGCAAAGGGAAAAAGTTGCGTTGCTGAAAGGGGTGATTCCCCCAGCTGAGGTTATTGCTTTTGATGATTATTATTACAAACAGATTTTTATTCTGCCAAGTGAATGCACTTTTTGAATGCCATGCGTTGTTAAAGGCTGAAAAGGATGCTTTTCTCGGTGTCAGTTATTGGACAAACATCGATATTTTCCTTGGGGATTAATAAAAAATGAATAAAATTTGGATTTATAAAACGAGCTTGTTTAATGTAAAACAAATTAAATTGATTTTAATATAATTTAAATCGTAATTCGGAAATATTTAACAAATACCATATCTTGAAAAACAAAAAAATAATTTAAAAACAGCAAAGTTCAAATTTTGTAAAATTTATTTTTCCGATTGTTCCTATGGGAGCCATATGCTATGGTCGTCCGATCTGGCTCGTTCAAACACATTCCTATATTTTATTACAATTCTTGTTAAATGAACTGTGACTTGTTTGTGGGTTTTCCGAGTCTGTTGATAGCCCATTTGAACCCAACAGATAAGAAGAGACTCTCATATAAGAAATCACTCGCTCTGCAAAAATCTCATTGTGTTCTGACTTATGAATAAAATCGGTCAAGCCCACGACTAAAACGCGCTTAACGAAAATATTCAGCAGAATGACATGGCTGTTACTGTGGACTTTTATACTTCAATATGTATTAATAATAAATGCCACGAGGTAAGTTGAATTTAATCTTTTTTTTTTTGAGCTGATTTTTAAAAATGTATGCAAATTAACCATTGCAGTATCTTTTCCGTTGTGGGACCCGACACCATACGATCCAACACCAATTATGAGGTTTCCGTTACCCTGCATGAGTCTGATAGACCTTGTCAAATAAAGGTCAGCGTAGACGGACCCTGGGCCAAAACCTATCAGATCAGTATTCAGCCCTTGTCCACCTACTTGCTGTCCTTTGATCTCCCCAAACTACCAAGTGGTGATTACCAGCTTGTGGCTGAGGGAGTCGAGGGCATCGTGTTCAGGAAGTCCACCAAGCTCACCCTCTCCGAGGACAAGGCCTCGATCTACATCCAGACGGACAAGGCCACCTATAAGCCGGGCGACCTCCTACAGTTCAGAGTCCTCTTCCTGGACAGGGATACGAAGCCCGCCAGGATCGACAAGCCCATTACGATCGAGATCCACGACGGGGACAAGAACCGCATCAAGCTGTGGAAGGAGGTCAAGCCGACCAAAGGTGTTTTCTCCGGAGAGCTCCAACTGTCCGACCGCCCCGTGCTGGGAAACTGGACGATCGCAGTTGCAGTGCAGGGCGAGGGCAAGGAGACCAAGGTCATCAAGGTGGACAAGTACGTGCTGCCGAAATTCGGGGTCAGGATCAGGACTTCCGGGGACGTGGTGGCCGCCAATGGGCTTATCGAGGCTACCATTTTTGCCAAGTACTCCTTCGGCAAGCCGGTAAAGGGCACTGTTACCGTCTCGATCGAGGGCGGTTGGAGTGAGAGGACTGTCGCCATCGACGGGATGGTCAACGTGGAGCTCCCGTTTGACTCCACCGAGAAGTCGCCGCTGAAAGTTGTGGCCACCGTGACCGAGGAGCTCACGGACCTCAAGCAGAACAGCTCCGCCTATGTGACTCTTCATCAGAATCGCTACAAACTTCTGCCCGACGGTTGGCCGCAGAACTTTAGGCCAGGACAGAACCTTTTCTTCCGCGTTGCCGTCTCAAATGTGGACGGTTCGCGGGTCATGGACTCGAAGAGCAACGTTAGATTTCACTTTGATTGCTGTGGAGTTACAAGAAACACCGAGAATCCCATAGCTAAAAGTGTGGCCATCACGAGAATGGTATTCCCCGATACTCTGTGCGGAAAATGCCAGGTAACTGCCACATTTGGAGGAGCACCGGCCATAACCCAATCTATAACAAAGCTCGAAAAGTCACTTAGGATTGAGGTAAATGATAGGAAGTGAGTACTCTCAAAATTAACTCAACAAGTATACGCTTTTAACCGCGATTTATCTTTCTATACAGGCACAAAGAGGGACAGTTGGTTGAGGTGCAGGTTATATCCTCTGAATACCTACCGCACTTTATGTTTACGATTGTCGCTCGGGGAAGGATCGTCTTTAACAAGTACGTTCAAGTGGCTGGGGAAGTTCAAACCCAGAGCCTCACTTTCCGATCCAATTTCGATTTGGTGCCCCAAGCCACGCTTTTTGTGCACTACGTTGTGAACGGGGTAATGCGCTTCGACGAAAAAACCATCGAAATCGAGAAGGTCTTTGGAAATTCAGTGAGTTTACCCAAATGAAATCGGGGCTTAACTCGATGTAATTTTATTTATTTTAATTTCAGATTGAAATCGAAGTGCCTAAGAGTGCAGAGCCGGGCGATTTTGTGAATCTGGCAGTGAAAACCAATCCCTATTCCTTTGTAGGCCTCCTGGCAGTGGACCAGAGTGTCCTGTTTTTGAGCTCTGGTAACGACCTCAGCCACGAACACATACTCAACGATCTCGGCAAGTACGCGTCAACCAGCATGGTGACCCTAACCAATGCCAACATAAGCTCCAATCAAAACTGGGGTCCCTGTACCTCTGATAGTGGTGAGTCATGAAGATTTGTTTTGAAGATAGCTTTATCAATTGGAAACTGTTTTTATTTAGAATCATGCGGTGTTTTCAGTCGATCGCTTTTCAAGGCTAGTTCTTCGAATCAAGGTAAGCTATTTCACGGTTGCCCAGAAGGCTCAGTAATTAATATTAAATATTTACAGGAAGACCCCCAGCTCCTTCGCAGCCTGTGCAGAAGAGCAGTGCGCAAGGTTCACCTCCACCAATTCGTCAGGAGTTCCCTGAAACCTGGCTGTTTATGAACATAACTGAGTAAGTCTTCCGTAGTTTTCCAAAGGGATCATAAATCTAACGACAGTCACCCGCAGAGTGGGTCAAAACGGAGTTGCAATGGTGCATAAGAAGGTCCCCGATACCATTACCTCCTGGGTAGTAACTGGCTTTTCCCTGAACCCCGATTCGGGCATTGCCACGACCAAGGGTCAACCTAAACTCCGTGTGTTCCGGCCATTCTTCGTATCCATAAACCTGCCGTACTCCGTGAAGCGAGGCGAAGTTATTTCTGTTCCAGTGGTGGTGTTCAACTACTTGGGTAAACCTGTGGAGGCGACGGTTACAATGGACAACTCTGACGAGGAGTACGAATTCTCCGAAGTCGTCAACGAGAACGAGGCGAAGGAGGTGCTGGAGAGGCAGAGGACCAAACGACTCTGGATACCGGCCGACACCGGCAGGAGCCTCACGTTCATGATTCGCACCAAGAGGGTGGGACTGACCACACTGAAGATCACCGCGTCTTGTCCTGTTGCCCAGGACACCATTCACCAGAGGCTAAAGGTGGAGGCCAATGGCGTGACCAAGTACGTCAACAAAGCCATTTTAGTCAAAGTGAATCGGTTGCATCGCCGGAGTGTGGGACCCTTGGAGAAAACGCTGCAGGTGGAGCTTCCCACGGACATTGTGCCAGGCTCCGAGGTCATAGAGTTCGAAGTGGGTGGTGACCTTCAGGCACCCGTTATCGAGCACCTGGACAATCTGGTTAACTTGCCCAACGGCTGCGGTGAGCAGACAATGATCAACTTCGTGCCCAACATCCTCGTGCTGCGATACCTGCAGGTTACTCGTCGCAACGCCCCCAGCATCGAAGCGCAGGCCAGGAAGTATTTGGTCACTGGCTACCAGAGAGAGCTGACCTTCAGGAAAGGGGATGGCTCCTTCAGTGTCTTCCAATCCTCTGCAAGCAGCACTTGGCTGACCGCCTATGTGATCCGCTCCTTCCACATGGCTGCCAACTTTACCTACATCGAATATAATGTCGTGACATCTGGGCTAGACTTCCTTGCCTCCAAGCAACAAGGAAATGGCGAGTTTCCCGAAAATGGCGCCTTATACAGTGAGATTAAGAATCCCCTGGCCTTCACCTCCTACGTCCTGCTAACCTTCTTTGAGAACACTGTGAGTCTGCTGCTGTAGTTGTTCGAGCATATGATTTTGACATCCTTAAAATCCTTAAATTCTTTGCAGGAGCTAAGGGCAAAATACCAGCGTGTGATTGATAGGGGACTGCAATTTGTGGTCAACAGGGTGGACCACTCAGACGACCAGTTCTCAATGGCCATCGCCGCCCTGGTCCTGGCCATGGCCAGGCACCCCAAAGTCGAATCCGTTCTGGCCCGGCTGGAGAGCATGGCCCGGCGGAAGAACGACCTCAAGTGGTGGTCCAAAAGTGAACGCTCCGTTGCCAGCCACGACGTCGAGCTGACCTCCTATGTGCTGCTCGCCATGCTGGAGCACGGCGTGACGGACTCGCCCATGCCCATTGTCCAGTGGCTGGTTGCCCAGCGCAACAGCAACGGGGGCTTCGGCTCCACCCATGACACGGTCGTGGGCCTGCAGGCCCTGACCAATTTCGCACTGCAAGCCATAATGACCTCCGCAGATATGGACGTTGGCTACACCGTTTCGAAAAACGGAAGGCGGTCCATCGTCAAGGTCACACCCGACAAGGCGCTGAAAGTGCAGACCCACGAGCTCCCAAGTACTACCCGAGAGGTCCACGTCTCGGCCACGGGCAGTGGGGTCTCCTTGGTCCAACTCTCGTCCCGCCACAACGTGGAAACCGAGGAGGCAAGGCCCAGTTTCAAGCTGGCGACCACGGTTAAGAATTCGCCCAAAAACCGTCTCGAGCTCAAAATTTGCTTCGAATACACTCCCGTTGAGGCGAGTGACATGGGACAGCCCTCCAACATGGCAGTCATGGAGGTCCAACTGCCCTCCGGCTACATCGCCGATGACGAAGACCTGGCCAACACCAAGTCCGCCGCCGCAGTGAAGATCGCGGAGACGAAGAAGGACGACACCATGGTGGTCGTCTACTTCGACAGCCTGAGGCCTGGTGACCCCAAATGCGTGATGGTGACAGCAACTCGCGTTCACGCGGTGGCCATGCATAGGCCGTCCTACGTCGTCCTCTACGATTACTACGTCCTGGAGCGCCGGGCTACCCAGTTCTACTCGGTTAGCACCTCCCTATGCGAAATCTGCCAGGAAGCCGACTGCGGCAGTGGCTGCTGAGAGGTTCAATGAGGAATCAGACTTCAAATGATAATCAACTCTCTTTTTTAAAATAAATACAATTTTATATTAAATACAGGTCGATATGTTTTAAATAAACCTTTTTTTTTAAATATTTGGTAGCTATGCTTTTAACATAAAAGTTTTTAAATACTCAAAAAGTTGTACACTTCTATTATATTCTACCAAACCCGCAAATAGTGGGATTTTTGAAAATTGCTATGAGAAAATGGCTTGCTAAAAACCTAATATAAAACTTTCTTTAAAGCATAAACATTTATAAGCTCTTTTCAAAAGCCATTAAATAGCAAAAACCATTGCATTTCCAAGGAAGCATTTAAACATGTTCTATAATCCTAATTTTCACTCATAAAGTTTTTAAAATTCCTTTTGCTAAGACGGGAAGCTTTAACATTTTGCCAGCTTCAAATGCTAATGACCCACATAAGTCATTAACTTGGCCCCGATAAACGTTAAATAAACGTTGGAAAAAAGTTGCGAGAATTTCCGCATCAAAGCGAGAAGAAAATTCCGACTGTCAAGAAAAGAGGAAAAGCAGGAGGATAGAATGGTTAGCAGCGTCGTAAACTTTTCACAGGACATCATCATCATCATCATCAGCAGACACATGCCCCAACTTTTACTCCCTGGATTTTAGCGGGTGGAAAGCCTGTCAGTTGCTCATCAAATTGCGTGCCGCCTGCAGGAAATTAAATAATTTTGTGTAATGAAAAAAGGCCGAAAAAAGAGCGGCAGCATTAATGGTAATGCATTTTTTTCTTATCCACTGAGGGCAAAAACAAAAGCAAACACATAAAATGATTGTTGAGGGCGGGGGAGTATGTGTGTGTGCCACGCCCACCCGCCAAACGCACATAAAACACAAAATTATAGCATAAATTCTCAGTTTGTTGGCTGAATTTCATTGCAAATGTGCGCACATTTTCCAATTGAAATGCCAAACACGAAAAGCGAAAATTTCACAGCTCCCATTTGTTGTTCTTACCTGATGTACAATATATGTACATATCGTATGTACATATTAAGGTGGCAACTGCAGAAGCTGAATTTTCTGCCTCTGTCGCTTATTTGATTTATGTGCCACCATTTTGCACTTGTTCGTCGTTATTGTTATTGCAAATAAGCAGAGACACACGAATAAACAATGGAAGATCATCTTAAACGGTTTGAACTTATACACATTAAAGGTTAAGTCGAGTAAACATTTAGAAAGACATTTAAAAGGGTTAAAGTTTTAAAGAAATGTAAAATAATTTTAATGTATTGGCATAGTTTAACGGCATTGAAAGGAAAGTAGTCTTTTCTACGTTCTATATTTAATAAAAGTTTTTAATATATATTTTTGTAAAATACTTCATCTTTCGCCATATTTCTTTCTATATTTGTTGGATTTATAGTCCCTGAAACCGTTTCCATTAGAAATTCGCAGGTCAAATTAATTCTGACAGCCGACGCACCCAAACCATTTCACGCTTTTCCAGCATGCCACCCCCAAACCCCCCTCCCAGCCCAACTTACCAAGATCCACCGGGAGGGGGAAAACCCAACAAGCGCTGACCATTTGAAGGCAAAAACACGCAAAGAGAGTGGGTGACGGACACACACCTAAATTATGGCCCCAAATGATTTGAAAATAGCAGCTGTAATTTGTTTGCCAACACACAGACACGCACTCAGACCCACACGAAAGTCGACGGGGTCCACCACCCCCAGAATTTTCCTCCTCTCGGAAAAGCCCCCCACCTCCACAACTGTTCTGCTCCGTGACTCCACTGAAAAAGGCGCAACATATGCGAACATTTTTCCATGCACTCCGAGACCTTGGGGACTGCATTATGATGGTGGGTGGCTTTTGGGTGGGTGAAGCGACAATTAGACAAAAGCTGGGGACACACGCAGACATAGCTTCAATTTCATGTCATTGTCAGGCTTCAGAACAGGACACAAAAAATAAGCGAAAAAATGGAGCGGGTGCGGCTGCTTTTTATTATTATTTTGAAATTAAAATTCCCCACTCGAAAGGGAAGTCCTCTGGAGCGTTGCACATGTGCATTTGGGGTTTTGGCATCTCATCCTCCGCTTTGCACCATTCTCCATTTTTTAAGAGGGATACTCTAGGGTGGGATCGCAAATATGCACGTACACACCATTTTTTAATTGATTAAATATGAAACCAGCAAAAATGCACGACAAGGATGAAGATTGTCCTTGGGGTGCGAGCACAAGAGGAAAAAGAGAAGCTGTGGCCATGAATATTAAAGTCAAATGAATAATTTGAAAAATAAATCCAAAAACTTTAAAATATTTCAGAGTATTTATGAAACAAAGGAATGTTATATATGTATTTCAGTTTGTGGAAAAAATCTATAGTCTACAATATTTCAAATACCAAACTAATCGAAAAATAAATAAAAACATTTCTTTATCCACATCAAATTGCTATTCTGTGAAAATTGACAAGAACATTAAACAAATGTTCATGTTAAATAAATAATATATATGTACATCATGGCGAAAATCGAAAAATGTAGTTCCAGCTGTAAAAATGGCGTACATTTCGGTGCAACGAAAAAATGTTTACGCAAAATATATAAAAAGTTTGTTCAGCTGGAGTTGTGGCAGTGATTGAAGTGGGAACTAACGCCGCTGACTAACTGACTTACATCGCTCACTCAATCACCAACCCTTTTCGAATCCATTTTTTTACATTTTTCCCTCAATTTCTCCTCGACTTCCTGGTGGCTTGACAAATTTGCACTTAGCCTTGGTTTTGGCTCAGCACTTGTTGAGAATCGTGAGCTGCATTTATCTGCTATTGAATTTCAACCGAAAAAAGGGCCATAAAAAACATCCGAATATATAGCTTAAATTCGCTTTCCTCTTTTTTCCCTTCATGTGACTTGTGGGTGAACAAAGTTTGCGTCTCGCTAGTTTACACGAAAATGAATCGCATTAGTTAGGGTTGAGTGATTTGGAAATTGTGGTAGAGTCAAATGGCGCTAATTTCCTTTGCAACTTTATTTTCGTGGGCGAGCCTGTCTGCGGCTTAAAGTTTCGGCCCGACTTTGCACACTTTAATTGAACTTAATTAAGTTTACTTTGTAAGCTGCAAACAAGATCTACATTATCTACAATATATTTTTTTATATACTTATATTTCTAATAATAGTTAGCATGTTGAAATAAAAAAAATATTTAACCAAATAATTATGGCTTACATTCTGATAATTTCTAGCTTGACTTGGCTTACCCAACCACTTTTTTGTAATAACTGCCATATTAAAAATCAATAACTCTACTGGTTCTACAAACGATTAAATTTCTTCCCTTCAACAAAGTCTCTTAGCCAGCAATTTTATCTACTTTTAAATGTACATAATTCATTGAGAAAATAGCTAAATTGAAGCCTACGAGTTGGGAAACTTCGTTGAAAGAAGAAAACGTCGAGAATAAGAAACACCCTTTAAATAAACCTACAAATTTTGTGACTAAATCAAAGTATTTTCAACATCTAGGGTAAGGGAAAATCTTTCACGTAGTGCCGGCGAAGAGCTCCCCCAATTGACTGGCACAGTTCACATCATGAAATATTTAAGGCATCCAACTCCTCGAAACAGGAACTGAGAGCTCATCGCCCAATCGTGTGTAAAGTGACAACTTTATTCCCAAGCTTTTGGACCGAAAAAAGCTACGAAAATGTCAGCCTAGTCCGAAACTATTTTCGTGTGTCCATTCGAATATTTAAAGCGTTTGCGGCTTTCGGCCGCCCAAATAAAAAACAGAAAGACCCTCTAACCGTAGATATTCCGGGTTTATTGGTTAGTTGTGCTGGTTTTATTGCCAACAGTGTGTCCTGTTTATTCAAACAAGTCGAAAGTTTGGGCCCGGCTGCCTGGATGCCTGCGGTTGCCATTAAATCCTCAAAAATACCTCAATATATATGTAGGTTCGAAAACAAGGACCCACCTCCGGTTCTGCTGTCAATGCGCCTCATAAATTGTGTATAACATTCTGACCAGTTAATGGATTTAAATTTTCATGTGTGTTTGCCTTTGCTGAGGCGGCAAACTAACACACACATTTTTCCATCAGTGGTTTCTGCGGTTTTCCATCGCATTTTTGGTCCTAACAAATTTCACTTAGCTTGTGTGTCTTTTGGTTTTTCGGTCAACATTTCTTGGCCTAGTTTTTGATAAAGGAAAATGCCTTTTGTTTTGACACAAATGTAATAGAAATTTTCAGTCGTAAACCGCAGGAAAGGTATTTCGTTATTAAATAGTGTTTAACTCTCGAATATGTGGACTTTAAGTATTTATAGTGGTTAGAGGTTCAGTAGGCATTTGTGGCATTTGACATTTTTATTTATCTTGAGTGGCAGAGTCACTAAAGTGCAGCCGGAATTAGCAACCCAAATGGTAGCTCAAAAAGGTCATCTCTCGATCTAAATGCCAGCAATCAAAAACTAATCAATATGACTGAATAAACTCACTAGATCTGGCAGATACGATTTGAATAAATTCAGCCGCAAATCGATCGAAACGCAAGGTAAGCCGAAGGCCCCTTTAAATTCAAAAACCCCAATAGTTCAAAACATTTTGTGGGTAAATGCAAATTTATTGCAAGTAGTTGAGGAGGGAGAAAGAAGAATTTGCGCATTCGAATCCAAGTCCGAATCGAACTGTGAATACAAAAAGTCTATCCGCTGCATGTAGTAAAATATGCTAAAAGTAAATCCAAGTTGAATTAATGGACAGCAATCTTTGGATAAATCTTATGCATTTTCAAATGCACACAAGGGGGTGTGTGTGGGGCATTTGCATAACCGCAGAGCAAGCCAGTAAACCAGAAGGAACTCGACTCCGGCCACAATTTATGCAAATTCAATTGCAACAACTTTGGCAGTCGCCACTTTTTCTGGTCCTCTTTTTTCCTCTTTTTTTTTCCTGGCCATACATAAGGCGATGGTCAGGCCAATCGATGGACTGTAATCCTGATCCCCGAAGATAGCTTTGTCCGCAATGATAGCAGGAATTTGTGGCAGGTTTTTGTTTGATTTT